TTTTGCTTTTTCGTTTTGACAGAAAATTATCTTCGGTCGATTCGTTTCAAATATTTGTTTCAATTCATCTGTAACATTAATAATTCCATTACTTAAATATTATGCTACATTTGGATGGGTTGTTACTCAGTAATAATTTGCACTTTATCTGAGCGAAGTGATAGTATATGGCCATCAAAGGCGTGCGGTCCAAGTATATGTAAATGTATCTTTATGTTAGGCGGATTTTACAAATTTTTATTATAGTATTGAATCTTAATAAACGCTTTTGTACATTTGTAACATTGTAATCTAAAGTAGGCAAAGTCTTTTTGCCTATATGAACTGCACGCCACTGATCATATTTTTTTAGTTCAGTCTCTTTAATTACCCTACTGATATTTACTACATAACATACATAACATCACGCCTTTTATCCCCGAAGGGATGGGCAGAGGTGCACCTTACGGCACCTAATGCCACTGTAACACCCACTTTTCACAATTTATTTTATGAGTCCCATGTAATATCCCTATTATCGATTTGTATTTTCTTTAAACTTAAGTAATACTTACTGACAACCAAAGAAACATCAACTGGTGCCATCATGATCCCTAGAAACAGTGCTGCGTTGTGGGGTACACTAAAGTCTATGTGGTTCGGTCCCATAAGAACCATTACATCGCCTTTCTTCAGCCCCATCTTAGTGAGAGAGACAGCACATTGGATACTCCTGAATGCGGCTGATATGTTGGTCTCTGATTCTCCCGTAGCTCCATCAATCTGTTGAAGTGTGTCAGCATAAGGAATCTTTTTGCAAATGTTAACTACACATATAGGTACTACATAGATCTCCCAATAGGATTTCATTTCATTTTCTCTATTTTTAACCGACTTCCAAAAAAGTGAGGTTCTCATTTTGATATGTATTTTCTGTCCTGTATCTCGCTATTGGCAGAACCGATTTTGATGCGGTTTTATTATATTAATTAATCAAGAAAGAAGGCGTTGAAGTCGGTTGTTTTAAAAGAAGTTTATGAAAGAATTACATAACATAACATCACGCCTTTTATCCCCGAAGTGGTAGGCAGAGGTACTTAATGCCACTGTACAAAGTAACACCCACTTTTCACTATTTATTTTATGAGTCCCATGTAACAGAGAGTGAGCCTATTGCCATATACCGTGCTACTTCTGAAATTTTTTAAAAAACCTATTAATACTATGCCCGCCCCGGTAATCGAACCCGAGACCCCTTGCCCGGCCGTCGCACTTGCGACCACTCGGCCAACGAGGCAGTATGAAAGAATTCTTTTTTATTTACTTGTTTCTTATCCGTCATGCTCGTATAATGGCACTGGACTTAATACCCTACTGTAGATAGTAGGATATTAAATCTGACCTTTGGGTGATGCAGAGAAGAGTAAAGAGTAATTATAATTGTGTTTGTGTCAGTGAACCTGTGATACACACAATAGTGATTTTGAGTTTACACAAGTCTATTGTTATGTTTTTGTTTTAGTTTTTTTTATTGCCGTGGTTTAAATATACAAAAACATAACAAAGTTCTCTGTGTATTTGTTACCTATGTTATGTTAGTTCGCGATTATCTCGCGATTGGCTGAACCAATTTTGATGCGGTTCAGAAATGTGTTCGTTACACTTAGGGATACGTTTTAAGATATTAACTGAATTTATTGTCAACCGATTTCGAGGTAACGTTAATAAATGTTAGATTTTTTAGACGTTAGTTTATTTAAAAATATTTTCCACTAGCTGTTGCCCGTGACTTCGTCGGCGTAGAATATGATTCCTGTTTTATCCCATAGGAACATTTAATTGGGATAAAAAGTATCCCACCACGTAAGTCAGCCTATGGCCGCTTGTGTACTAAAATCAATTTAGTAGTTTGAGCGTGATTGACGAACAAACACAACATTCACATTTATATTATTAATATGTTTGCGCGACATAGCGATTTTAGTTAATTTATTAGTGTGATTTCATTTGCTTGTGTACCTTGTGTACTAAAATCAATTCAGTAGTTTGAGCGTGATTGACGAACAAACACAAAATTCACATTTATAATATTAATATTTTTGCGGGACATCGCGATTTTAGTTAATTTAATATTAGTGTGATTTGATTTCGTACAACGGTTTTCCTTGTTATTTTCATTCATATGATCCTTTACACGATTATACTAATATTTATCTATAACTGGCTATTCTCCTTCCTTACATCGACTACATTTCAACTCAGTATTTATTTCACAGAATAAGAAATTCTAATACCTGGAACACAAAGTCGGGATCATCTTGAAGGCTGTGCAGTATCAGTTTTCCGAGATGATGTCTGTCTGAAGGGATCCCGGTCTTAGCAACCACGCGAGCTCCAACTTCTGCCATGTACCAGTGTACTGCGTCATAAAGAGGCCGCATATTGCTGTTATTGGGGGGAGTATCTGAAAAGTTGAATAGATGTTTATACCTATTTGTTTTAATAGGTCCGAAACCTGTCAAGTACCAATGTGACTTTATTCAAATTATATCTCTTTCGAAGGTAGTTCATTTCGACACAACTGACAAATGGTGTAGGAAAACGAACCCGAGATCCCTTGTTAGGCAGTCGCACTTGCCACTACTCGGCCAACTCTTCTGTTGGCATGTGAAAATCTTATGGATTCAAAATTCAAACCTATGAACAGCTTCTATGTATATCACTCTAGCTTTGAAATCTTCGAGAGCTTATATGTATCCTTTTGTGTATGGAATGAGGGATTTTTAAACCAAAAAGAATGTTTATTTTTACTTACTTGTGTCAAGAGAACCGCAAATTGAGACCAATACGAATCCAAACAGAAAAACAAACACCTCAAATAAAGAAATAATAAATAGAATCAAATAAATCTTAGAACTAAGAAATCAATTTACGTCATAAAAAGCAAGCGTTCTCAACAATATCTCTAAGTAAACTGTTTATTAATTAATTGTAGTGTCATTGTCTTAGGATTTTATCTTCAGAAAACAATTTAAATGTGATAAATTTTAATACCAAACAAAATAAAACCTAAGTACTATGTGAAGCTCATTATCTTGCACAGATACTCGAAAGAATACGTATCTGATTTTAACTCGCGAGATATAATTTATAATTATATTATAATGACGTACAAAATTTTAATCTTTAAAGTAAGTTATTAGATCCTAATTCATTAATATTAACAAAAGACTGCTTCGTTGGCCGAGTGGTCGCAAGTGCGACTGCCGTGCGACCCGAGCCACGTTCACAGGCGGTGTAGAAAAAACGCTGTGGTATTAACTAATAAGATTAGACCATTTATAGTCCCGATCAGAAGCTGTGAACCACTTAACGGGTTAACGAGGCTCCAGTTCGACGCAGGAACAGGAGTGGGGTGGTTTTCAGTTTATAAGAGTCTGACACTCTCTTTCACCTCACCCAAGGCGGTAGAAGTCATTAGATATCTTTCCCCTACAAAGACTACATACAGTAATGATCTTGAAATTGTAAAAGGCAAAACAGATTTTCAGGCTCAGATAGACTGCAATATTCTCTTTCGAGAAGAAATAAATTTCGCTTCAAGCTTCCTTGTACGTATTGCTAAGGATTGGAATTCTTTGCCAGAGTCTGTATTTCCTGAAGGGTATAATCCTGGGTGTTTTCAAGGCCCGTGAAAATAGGTTGCTTTTAGGTCGACGTGCTCCATCGTAGACCGCATCATCGCTTACCGTCCGGCGAGATAATTGCCTAACGTCAGCCAATCTATACCTATGTAAAAAAAAATCTTCTATACCACAGTATGTCCTTTACCTTAGTACAATTGTCTACCACACGGCTCTAATGTTATGATAATAAATTATAACAATTATGATTTATCTCTAATCTTTATCTTTATTATCGTGACCTTCATAAACATCTTTAATCCCTGACAGTTATATAAATACGTCGGTTTTGTGATAAAAATAATTAAAAATCATGCTGACAGACAGATTATGAATATTGGACCTTAGCCCAAGTGATCAAATTACACACGCAAGTTTTTGTTTTACTAATGGAATAAGCCGATAAACGATTAGACGGATCACCTGATGGTAAGCAATCGGCGCCGACCATGGACAATAGAAACACCGGAGATGTTACAAGTGCGTTACCACCGGCCTTTTGAGGATTAGGCATTAATTTAAGCATTGTTAGGATTCTAGGATTGAAAAGGGGAGTAATTGGGCCTCCAGTAACCTCACTCATACGACGAAACATAACGCAAGTATTGTTTCACGTCGGTTTTCTGTGAGGCCGTGGTATCACTTTATAGTTTTTGTTATTCATAATTAGCATAAAAACAAAAGTATCCCACGGCAATCATACTTTTTTGCGACATAAAATATTTTATCTTGTCATTGACGCCAAGGACTACGGGACAATGTTCCACGACATGTATCGGTGATATGTCAAGCGGAGCCTGCCGACGTTGATTTTGCCAGACATTTCGAGCAAAGTCTGGCAACGTCGCGCTACTGTACCCAGCGTCGCTTTTTTTTTGAGGGAGGCAAATCATCCAATATCTTTTCTCGCCTTCGGTTAGGCGAGAGGGAGTGTCAGACTCTTACTGGCTAAAAACCACACCGTTCCTACTCCTGCTCTTCGAGCACTAGCGTCGCGTGTCCCCCAGGACATTAATTGTCCCCCAAACTACATACGTTGACATATCAAACTGTACAAAACCAGTATCAACTGACCATTGAGTCCACCACTTTATTATTCAAGGCTTAACAGACCACGACAGATGGAGTTGGACATAACGAGTTGCCGGGGCTCCAGCTCTAAGTGTAGGAGTAGGAACGGGGTGGTTTTGGTCAGTGAGAGTCTGACACATGCTCTCGTCTCAGAAAAAAAAAGACTTAATATAGGATTTCGCGCTTAGCAGTTTTTTGTCATCCCTATAAAATAAGATCACCACATTGTAATAATTCGTTATGGGAAATAATACGCTTATAGTGTATTATAGGATATTTAATTATAACAAAAATCTTATTCTCTTGGCAAGGTTAGCACTAATTCTTTCAGTATTTGTCTGTTGACCTTCGATGTGCTTGTCAATGGCAGCTCGTTCAAGAAGATCACTCCTCCTCTCAACTGCTTGGAGTCTGTCAGCGATTCTGAAATGAAAATTAAGCTTAACTCCTTTGTTTTACGGGCCTCTATTTATTTTTGTATCATCAGGAGGAACTTATCACACTTACATCCATCAATATTCTAAGCTTTCTTTTCTTCTGATCTATTTTCTACCTAGTTTATTGGTTGACAAATAACAGTATTTGTGTGAAGTCTTTGCCATCTGCCCTTGATAACTATAAGTTTACCGTTTTCAAGTTTAAACCCGCCATCAGACTTATTGCACTAAATAAGGCATGACTCCACAATTTCATTAAAATTTTCTGTCGATATATGAGACACAATAGAAAACACCTTGTCTCTCACGTAGATCTGCGTTCCAACAGTTCACAGGTTAAGCAACCGATACCGTACCATTTCCTTACCTTTTAAGGAGTAGGGATTAAATTGTTGCCTTTACCTTTAACCAGGTCTTTGATCTCCTGCGCTGAAGGGCTGCAGCCAGGCTTGGGTACAACACACGCCACTACCAGGTCCCCGCACTCCCTGTCCGGTATACCTGTCACTGCCACGTGAAATACTCCAGGGTGCTTCATGATTACCTCTTCGACTTCTACGGGAGATACCTAAATAAGAATAAAATTACAACCACGTTCGAATGAATTACGGTATTAGAGAGTAAATTAGGGATCATAATATTATTATCATCTTTATGTTCTTCCATATTACGGATCAAATTCCACTGACCTGATGATTTCTATACTTCAGCAGTAACTTGTGCCGTCCTACAAAGAATAGATTCCAGTTTTCATCTCTATAAAATATATCTCCAGACTTCAGCCAGCCGTCTTCTGTTATAGTCGCTTTCGTCACTTCAGGATTATTGTAATACCCCTGTTAAAAATTACTAAATATCTAGTCATTTATATAATTTTGAACGTATAACATAAACATCACGCCTTATTTTCCTTGAAAGTGTAGTCAGAGGAGTACATTATGCCACTGTACAATGTAACACCCACTGTTCACTATTTATGTTAGGAGTCCCATGTAATAGGGGGTGAGCCTATTACCATATACCGGGTACAATTCCAGACTCCGTGCTACTACTGTGATTTTTTTGAAAAACCCAGTAATACTTTGCTCGACCCGGGAATCGAACCCGACCCCTTGCCCGGCAGTCGCATTTGCGACCACTCGGCCAATGAGGCAGTTTTTGCCGTATCTAAACATATAAAATACTGTAGCTCTACATTAATTAACATATCATTCTCCACAAATAAAAAACTTACTTTAAATATACTGGGGCCTTTAAACCATGCTTCTCCAGGAACATTGGGTTCTGTTATGACTTCGTTTGTATTGGGATCCACTAGCTGAAACCAAGAATATCCTTTTATTTGCTGGCTTCTGCCTGTAGTTGTATCTGCTTAAAACTCAATTAATTGCGTGGGTAGTATTTTGCTTCGTAAGTGAGGTTACCGAAAGCCCGATTTCCCGGAATCCCCTAATCTTCAAATTGTCACATAATCTCTAGCTCCCAAAACACAGAATATTGGGTTCAACAACATATATCTTTTTCTTATGTAATGGCTATTCCCTCAAACGAGGTCCATATCGTCTAGTTACATACTTTCATTTGTAATCCATGAATTGGTTTCCCATAACATCCTGGTGGAGTACATCTGTCCTGCTGCACAGCGACTCCGCTCGCTTCGCTCATGCCATACATGCCATAAATGTCGTCAGTTTGTGTGATGTTCTGAAATCAAGATACATCACTATTATCGGTATCGTCATCAGGCAGAATAGTATCACTGTTAAAATATATAAAGGTTTATCATTAATGCATTCATCATCATGGTGATTGTTTTTATATAACTATTGTGAAATGTACTAAATTAACTAAATATAGCGGGCTACTCACGTGAATATACTGCAAAAAGCTCTACTAGTTTCTTGCCACAGAGGCTACGTTTACGGTTACGGCAATGTCGCGCAGCCTACTGTACTGTACGACATCGTCGCCACCGCCCATGCTGTTCATGAGGAAGAACCCTTTTGTGGTTCGACACTAGTAGAGCTTTTCTCAGTATTTTCATGTGTGTAGCCCGCGATTTTAGTTAATCATGGTTATTGGCATTAGCGAAAAATTTGCCTTTACATTTTTTTGTCGCTAATTTTACACTGTCCACTTAGTTAGTGACTGAGTTACGTGGGACTTTTTTGCTCTTGTATTCTCAATAGATTTGATGAAGAGAAATCAAATGTACATTTATGCGTGTTAGATGGTACTTAATTTTGGAATAGTTATTAAAATTTTGACTGTAAGACAAACACTGCTTTAATCAGTAAGCTGAAGCAGCAAAAGATTAAACTTAGTGTACGTACGAATAAGAATCATGTAAATGTCTATTTTTCATACCTTAACTTCATCAACAACATCTTGAGCTACTGCACTGCCTCCAAGTATTATGAACTCGAAGCAGGTGAAATCACAATTAGCCTTTGTTATCATCGTCAGCATTAAGTTGGGGCTGATTATTTGGAAGGTTGGCTATAAGAAAGAGAAAAATATAAATATCTTAAAATTAAACAATAAATACAGATACTTGAATTTGTAACACAAACCTTATATTTGTTGACAAGTTCAGCAAAATGTTCTGGGGTGACAGTTGCTGATGTCTGCAATCGAGTATACTTCAAGATTGCCGAGAAGAGGTAATGGATTCCAGCTGACAACCATTGAGCTGGTGATGTCATTAACGCCATTCTCGTCGGTGTTGGAAATTTGGAGAATTGGTTCCTGAAGAAAAAAAGTTTTTACCATTTTTTTAAATGGTACAAGCCTGCCACTACCTCCCAAAACCGATGCGGCTCCTGTAAGCCAGGGTGTACAGTAGATAAAACCACGAAAACACCGGAACAGTGAAGTCCGGTGCGTCCCAGGGACATGAACAACTGTCTTGGTTCCCACAACGAAGTGAATCAGAAGATGTTATAAGAGATGAAGAAAAAAAAACGATAGTTTCTACTTCTATCGGTGAATTACTGCAGTAGGCAGAATGATCA